CCCACACAGAGGTTCTCTGTCCTGGAACTCTCTCTCTGTAGAACAGGCTAACCTTGAACTCACAGAGATCACCTGCCTCTGCCTCCTGAGTGCTGGGATTAAAGGTGTGTGCCACTACCACCCGGTACCTGGCTAAGTTGGGAAGCTGTGTTTCAAACTGTGTTTACTATTAGAGCATTAAAATTTTTAATTGCTTATGAACCACAGTATTTTCTGGCAGGCTTGTATCTTTCTTTTGAATATAATCTATTCCTGAAAGTATTTGGGGACCAATCCAAAAGTGAAAGGATCATTTACTCAGTCTTTGATTACCCTTCTCCTTGTAGTGGCCTTCTGCCAGACCTACTGCCAACCAGGAATTAAGGAGAGCCATTTGCCTGCTAAGGGCTTAGGAACAGAGGGAGACAACCACATAGACCAGGCTGGTCTCATGCTAGTGATCCTGCTCCTACTTCAGAAGTGCTGGGATTACAGGCATGTGTCACCATGTCTGATGGGAACAGTTTTTAAACCAGGAACATACTTGACTCCACGAACCGTTGTGAAACTCTTTTTTGTTCCTCTGCTCCCTGGCTTGGAACCTAATGATGCCCCCATAAAACGACCATTGTGACCTAGAGCCAATCCTGCTTGGCCTGGCCCAACTATTCGATAGGTGCTGGGAGGGAACTTCTCGCCTCCTCCTTCCCCTCCTCGGTTTCCTTACTCAGCCTGGCTCTGCCCACTAATTCCCCAGCCCTCTGGTGAAGGCAGCAACTAGCAGGAGTGCTCTCACAGAGCCTGAAGCAGCCACTAGTCAGCAGCTCTTGGATAAAAAGTATTTTAGGGTCAGTTACATTCAGGCAGCAATAGATACTCCTAGTCTTCCCCTCTCCTTATACTACCGGTTGTACCATATGGGAACATGAAATGTGTTTCTCACACGTGTGTGCTCCTGTGTAAGGTTTCACTATAGTAAATGAATGCATCCATTTGTAGTATAGAAAACTTAGCATCCATGCATGGTCTGTAAGTATCCCTGAGAAATACTGCAGGTGGCCTCCTGCTGTGTCTACAGGTGTGGAGGTTACCCACTCAATGTCTGCAGCTTTCCCAGCAGATTGGAAACAACAGCATTGTAAACGAAGGGGAGCATGAAAGCCTGGAAACTAGGAATTGCCCGTCTGAACCTTCTGACATCCAATTGAATGATGTAGTTTCTTCCAGCTTCTCTTTTCCCACCTGCCATGTTAGGAGGTCCAATTCTGACATCTCTGCTGGGGATCGCATGCCATGAATCTTAGCTTCATGTTTGAAGAGTGTGCTGTCTTTCTGGCACATCTGATACACAGCAGTGTATCCATAGACTACCAGCACCATTGGCTGGCCCACAGAGAAAGACTTAAAGGAACACAAAGTGTTATGTGCTGTGTGGTGGTGATGCAAGCCTTTAATCCCAGCACGCAGGAGGCAGAGGCAGGCAGATCTAGGTGAGTTTGAGGCCAGCCTGATCTACAGGACAGCTAGGGCTACACAGTAAAACCCTGTCTCGCAAAACCAAAACAAAAAAATTAAAAAAGGAAGTATGCAACGTGGCTAAATTCCTAGTAGCTCATGAAGCATAAGCTCTGCAAACAGAGTACAGAGAGCAGGCAATAGTGCCTGCTCTTTGTTTTGTTCTTCAGCTCCAGCCTGGGCTATCCAGCCTGAAGCAAAGGGAACTAACTGGGAACTGTTAAGGCCCAGTTCCAGTGGAAGAGGGGGACTTGATTCCTTTGTGAGCCCTAATGCGTTAAAGAAACACATGCATTAAAAAAAAATACTGAAGGTGTATCCTGTAGAGATGGGACAAATAAACAAATACTAATGGTTGAAGTAACGTGCATCATGCTTTGAGTGGGACATGAAAGAAAGAGGGGCAGTCACACTGACTCCAGTAAAGGACAAACCAGGAGTCTATTCCATAATGAGGGTGAACATACACTTCCATTACAGCTCTCACCAACAGAGTGCCCCGTGCTGAAACATGAAGGGGTTAGGCGCTGCTCCACCGTCCGACTTCCCCTACTTTCTCTTCTTCAGATACCACTTGAAAGATGTCATTGTAGGGAAGATATACTTCCTGCTGGTGAGAATCAAAATCAAGCACATGGAGATAGACATCATCAAACGGGAAACAACAGGCACGGGCCCCAATGTATACCATGAGAATGACACAATAGCCAAGTATGAGATCATGGACGGGGCACCAGTTCGAGGTGAGCCTTCTGGCCCAGGGCCACTGCCACTGTTTGCTTCCAGGTCATGTACAGAATTTCAGAATTTGGGAAGGGTTCAAATGATTATACTGTTGAAGTAAGAAAAGTTGGGTTTTTTTTGGGGGGGGGGCGGGTACAACGTCTCACTATGTAGCCCAGGCAGGAACTCCTGGAAGTCCTCAGCACTGAAGTGGGAAGGGGAAGGAAAGGCTGAGTCAGGGGAACTTCAGCTTCCTACCCCATCCTCAGCCACAACAGCCCCATGTTGACCTTGTTTATATATTGATTTATACTTAAGATTCCATCTCAACTGGCCTGCTTGCACGTGTATGTTATTCCACACCTTGGTAGGTAGAGGTAGGAGGATCAGGAGTTCAAAGTCATTCTTGGCTACATAAAGTTTAAAGCCTACTTAGGCTATATGAGATTCTGTCCAAAAAAAAAAAAAAAAAAAAAGTTTGAAAACTGCTTTAAGATACAGTTTGAATATTTAATTACTTTTTCTAACATTCAGGCATGCTTTCTGCTCAGAGAAAGAGAGAGAGCCACGTTCTCTAGTCATTTTTATTGTTTAGTTCTAGCTACAGTGAAATGTTTCACTAGGAATTCATTTGTCTGTCATGAAAGTGCACTACTAGACTGCTGGCCCACACTAAGAGGACATGCTCCTTCACAGGGCCCCTAGGAGGACTGGACTTGAAAGCTCTTTGCTGTTTAGGAATCTGGATTACTGGGAAATAGCAATCATTTACATGCTTTATTGGCTTTGGAGCAACTGAGGATGAAGGTCTCATCTCACTTTGAAGTGGGTGGTAGTATACCCCCAATGGGTATTCCCTGTGGAAAGAAGCTAGCACACTGGTAGTGCTAGCACTGAAGACCCCACAGATTCTTAAAAGTACTCACTGTAGCAGACCCCTGGGAGTGTTGGAACCCCACCTTCTTAACTCTGATGTTCCATTTTCTGACCGGTTGAGTCAAATGTCATTTCTCCTGTACAGATGAGGTGGGGTACAGGGAAACAGCACAGCACAGCAGCTAATTAAAGGTTCATGTATATTTAGCTTGTGGTTGGCCTTTCTCAGAATCACTGACCTCATTTTGTTGTTCTTATTAGAGTGTGATAGAACCTAAAATATGCCACTGGATTCTCTTGGTTTTCCATATGAAAGCTATAGATGTATTCAAATCTGGCTACTAGAGAACAAGGTGCAGAATGAGTTGCCTCTTTTCTAGGCCACCCTCCTGCACATTGCTATTAGAGTGGAGGTGTACTCTGGGCATACACTAACTAGTTTCCAGGGGGGTAACTGGAGAGATAGCTCGGTGGTTCTCAGCACACACTGCTGTTAAGGAGACCTGAGTTTGGGTCCTAGCACTGCCATCAGGCAATCCAGTCTCTTCAAACTCTAGCTTTCTTCTGGCTACCTCAGATACCTTCCTTCATGTACGTTCACATACTCATAGACAGATGCAAACATACACATTAGTAAAAGTAAATCTTTAAAAGAAATTTTTTAAAAGAAAAAGAAAACCCAACAACTTAACAGACTTACTGGCTCACACTTGTAATTCCAGCACTTGGGAGGCAGAGGCAGGAGGATTGCTGTGAGTTCAAGACCAGCCAGAACTACATAGAGACCATGTTTTGAATAAACATGAAAACAAAGACAAACCAGCAACAAGGCACAGTGCACATAGCAAATAATACCTGATGGTTCCCCTCTGCTATTCAGAACTGTTCCTCACTGTTTTTTGCAATGGGAGGGTGATAGGCTGTTCAGAAACCACAGGACTGGAATGGATCTGGAAAAATCACATATTTATTTCAGGAAACTGCCGCGAACAGTGTGTAATATGTCAAACGGCAGAGCCTTTGCTTAGTGTTCCTTGCCTTGCTCAGCTGGAGTCTGACCTGCTGTAGCCAGAATGGGTGTTGGTATACAACAGTGCCTCTTGTGTCCCTTGCGCTGATTTTTGCCTCACCCCTTACAGGTGAGTCCATCCCTATCAGGCTCTTCCTGGCAGGATATGAGCTCACACCCACCATGCGGGACATAAACAAGAAGTTCTCTGTGCGCTATTACCTCAACTTGGTGCTGATAGATGAGGAGGAACGGCGCTACTTCAAGCAGCAGGTGGGTGCCTCCTCCAGGACCCTGGGTTCCTTTGGGCACGAGGCAGAAAGGCCACCATTCCCACAGATGGCCATCTTAGCTCTTAAAGAAAAATGCTAAAAGAAAATAGTCAGGCCTCTGTCACTTGTGATTTTTACCAAGAAGTAGAAACGTGGAAATTGCCTAGAATCCTATAGCAGGAGTACAAATTCCCAACTGATACCTGGAGTCTGCTTTCTGAGGCCTAACTCCTGCTTTCGTGGCTCACACCAGTCTTAGGGGCCACTGCTTTGGTGAGAGATGAGCCAAGGAGGTTATTCCTGGAGATTCCCTGGGACCAAGGCAGGAACCCATGAGAAAAGCATCCCGAGCCTCTCTCAAACACCATATTGCCTCTTCTTCCAACTCTGTAGGAAGTGGTGTTGTGGCGGAAGGGTGACATCGTACGGAAGAGCATGTCTCACCAGGCAGCCATTGCCTCACAGCGCTTCGAGGGCACAACCTCCCTGGGTGAGGTGCGGACCCCCGGACCCCTGTCTGACAACAACAGCAGGCAGTAGGCCCCAGGGGCCAAGAAGTTGCTGGGCTTCCACTGCAGCACCCCCATCTACCAAACACCAGCGACTGGGGAGGGGGAGGTCGGTATGAGGCTCAACTGACCGTTACTTGCAACCTTGAAAACAAATCATGTGTTTTACCTAAATTCTTTTCTCTGAAGAACCTAAGGGGCTTGGGTTGGGCAGCAGTCTCCCAGGGATTCTGCAGCCTAGGTAGGGATAGGGAGAGGAAACATTCTGGAAGCTAGTCTCTCCCTTGGGAATGAGAGCTGTCTGTCAAGGCTATCTCAAGCCTTAAAGCAGAGTTGAGAGCACACATCCTTGGCTCCAGGTTCTCTGGGCTTCCTGATACAGCAGCTGAGCGTGTCCCTGGCATTCATTTGCCAGCAAGACTCTGGGTAGTCACGTCTTGCACTCCCTTCGACTGTCCCTGAGGTAGTGGCAGGAGTTGTTGGGCCTGTCTCATCTAAGTTGGATGAAGACTCAAGATCGGGAAGCTACCTCTCTGGGCATCTGGGACGTGGTGCTCTGAAGTTTCCAGTCACCTCTGGCCTCACTACTGAGACCAGACATGCCTCTTCTCCATCTTTTCTAGCTTGTCAGGAACCATACAGGAGCAGAGCCTAAGGAAGGGCGTAGGGCTGACTGTCCTCTCACTTGTGAGAGATATGGGCACAGAGAAGCCCTAAGATTGGTGTCACACATGGATGGCCAGGAGGCTGGCTAGGCCTCCTAGGGGAAACATTAGGCAAGGCAACTGTCTGCCTTCACCACATGACTCCGCATGGCAACCCAAGGTCTGGGTTGTTCTAGGGAATTATTTGAAGTTACCCAACAAGCCCTAAGCAGAGGGTCTGTTTCCTTTGGATCCTTAGACAAGGCTAAGATCCATTTGCCTCCCTAAAAGTTATCTCTTGTTACCCCTTGTCCTCTACGTGATTCCTGGAATTGGACTTGGTTTCAGACACTTAGAAGTTTTGTTCTTGCTCCCACCCCAAACCCTTTCATCCCACAATCTACACATCAAGGGAGGAAGGGCCTCTGCAGAAGACTCTGTTACCATAGCGTCAGAACAGTTCTGCTTGCCAAATTATGTCTTTATCTTCACCAATTCACTGACTCAAGTTTAGCACCACTAGTGTTTTGTTTTTTAATTTAAAAATAGGAAAACTGGTGGATGTCGTAACACTAGAGGGGAGGCAGTTCTTCCTCCTGCTCTGTGTTGGGGCCTGTAAGTAGTAAAGGGGTTGACTGTCTTCTTTGCCTTGTCTGGGGATGACCAGGAATTATCTCCCATTGGCCGCCCTCCCCTCTATAGAAAGATCAAGTGGAAGCAATGTTCAACAAGTACAGTATTGGCTGGTTTGTGCTCTTGGTAATTGGGAAGTAAAGGTTTGGTTTTGTGTCACCTTTCAGTTAGGGTAGAAAATGGGGTCTCTCCCTCAGAAATTAGTGCAATCTTGGGCTTTGACAGGGCAGGGCTGATGGATCAGAGTTCAGATGAAAGACACTTGGGGTGACTGGGGGTTGCAGAGCTAGGTAGTTTTCCTCATGTCAGACCCCAAGTTTAGGTAAGACATACAGTCCCCATGGGAACAGGTTCACCCATCCAGCTGTCCTAGGCTGGGCCCTAGCATATGAGGAAGGTAGGTTCTGTGCTCTGGCCTTTTTCAGGGTATGAGACTAGACTCTGCTGTGCCTCCTTTTAATAGCTAATTAAAAGCATTTGTCAATTTCTCTGCCTCCCAGCTGACAATACAAATTCATTTTCCAACTTTGCTAACATCGGAAGCCTTTCTTATGGGAGAACTAGAAGGTAGAATATGCTTTGTTTCTCTCAGGAGCTGTGCACAAGCCAGGTCTTGTTTTCTCTTACTGCCCCCATTTTCTTTTCTCTGCCAACTGTGAAAGTGTGGGGAGGCTCCCATCCCCATTCCATAAGGTTCCCACACCTGGAGTGCATAGGTACTAAACCAAGCAGTGCAACTTGTAATTAAGAAGCTGCAGTGTTTACATGTTTCTTAATGTGTTGTCTTTTCGATGGCTGTATTTTAAAAGAACATTTGTTTTAATGGTGTCTCTAATTAAAGGAAGCCCTGTGGCCTTGGAGGCATTGTGCCCACAGTCCACCAGATTCTGTGGTCTTTTCCTTCTTAACACTTGTCTCATATCTGACACACGAATGAAACTTTATGACTTCAACACTGCCTCCTTTCTCAGTGGATGGTAAAAAGTAATGAACACTGTACTAACCACCCATTTTAGGCAAGCATGGCTCAGTGAGTTCAGGTTTTATCCTTGTCTGGCACCTTACCCAGAAACACTCATATTTTCAACTTCAGGACTTAGGTTCACTGAGTGTTCACAGACCAAAGGACTCAGTCCTACTTTCTGCTACTTACTTCATAACTACAGTGGTAGGGGCAGATGACAGTAGAAGTACTGCAACTTCCAGTTGGCAAAAGGAGCCAGGTTTGGATGTAAGACATCTACAGTGAAGGATTCTACCACACCCAACACAGGTTTAGAAGAAAAAGCTTTCAACCTCATCATTAAATATTTTTTTATTAGGAAAAAAAATTGAACAAACCACCTGTGCACATAACCCCAGGTGGACACGGCAAGCTTTCTCTTTTTGTCTTTTAAAATCTTGACTTTGTGGATTAATAGCTTGTTCACTCCATCAGTAGAGCCTTCATTAACGTGGTTCTGTTTCCTCCAGGCTCAAAATAAAATCAAACTCCTCTAAAAAAAAAAAAAAAAAGGAAAAGGGAGAATGGGGTGTTGTGCCATCTCCTACTGAGAGCACCTGAGTTAATAAGGCACCACAAGTTCTGGAGTGGGCAGTTGTCCATTCAAAAACTGGAATATCTTAGGGTACTGGGTGTATAGCAAAGAGCAACTAAGCCTTCCTCATTTGTGGCACAGGTGAGGACACTGACCCTGGGAGGTTTATAGTGTCTCTACATTTAAGTCTTACCTCGAGTCAAAGGCTGAACTGAAAGTCTCTGGCGAGTGAAGAGAGTCATGCTTTTTAAGGGGCCACCAGTAGCTTTGTGGGCTTGGTGATAGGCTTTAAGCTCATCCAGGGAGATGAAGCGCTTCATCATTCGAACAAACTGTACATCCACCTATTCAGCAGCATTGCAGGAGACAGAAACATGTTCAGCCAGACTGTCCAGTGTAAGGACCGGGTCTCTCTGTGTTGCTAGTCTGTCCATGAATTCCTCAGCTGAATCAATTTTCAAGCCTCAGCCTACTGAGTGGCTAAGAATACAGGCATTTGCTTCTGTGCCCACCCAGAATTTCTATTTGCAGGAGGTGCCTGGTATTAGGGCTGCCAGTGTTCTGTTCTAATACCCCAATTCTGCAAATCTTCACCTAAGTGAGAGCTGGGCTGCGCTCCTTGACATAACAGTACACACTCCTTTTCCTTTCTTTTGTCCACTCTCCCTTATGAAACAGGAACTATAGTTATTACCATCGACCATTTAGGGTTGTCCTCTTTGCTGGATGGGTCGTAATGGGGATTATTTTTCTCAAACTGTGTGTGGTCTGGGTAAGCCTCCTTTACGATCTGAAAACAAATCCAAAATCTCCAATCATTTTAGCTCCTTGCCTGTGTTTTAATATGCATCTCTTTGACTTTTTACCTTTCCTTCACATTCTGACCCATCTCCCTTGCTATAGAGACAGTTGGTACGCAGACATCTGGAAGTAAGATTAGCCTAAGCAAACATAGTTAGGAAAGAAATCCTATTTTCACAAAGCTTCACAAGCATGTTCTAAAACTAAAAACTAAGTTACTGTTGGAAACACATTTTTATTTTCTCCCAGCTGCACACATAATGTTACTTTGAAATTCTTAGCAAAGAGGAATTACCTGATAGAACCGCAGATAGTGAGAAGTATTAGCAGGGCCTAAAATGAAGGTCTTCCTATTCTAACCCTCATCATTGAGGTGATGGCAGGGCAGTTTTTCTCGTTTTCTGTGACAGGGACTGTCTGGGGGGCCAGGGCATACTTTTGTTGTTACCTATTTAAGCTGTGGGCTTTCATGAGTAAGTCCCTAAAGGGAGGAATCCAGGCTAAAATGTGTGCACCTAACCTTCATAAGTCCCACGATGCCTGGCTGTTTGCAGTTGCTATGGTAGAAGAAGGCTTCCTCCTCCAACTTCATGGCCCTGAGGAAGTTCCGAGCCTGTGTCAGAGGAGAAGAAATAAGGATTACCCTCTTACCAGCTCGGAAGCAATCAAGTCTGCTTTTAGAAGATGTTTTTTCCTGGTTGTGCTTCTCTCAGATTCATAACAGAATCTATCCCTTTATTCAGAGTCCTAGCCTTGTTCTAGGACACTAGCCAGAACCAAGCCACTTGCAGACTGCATGCTGTTACAGTGATTATGTTATTTCTGAAGACATTTTCAGGATAGGGTTCCGAGAAAAGCAATTTTGGTTCAAAGACCTTGCTGCTGAAGAGCACAGTAGGGGAGGCAGGCATATATCCTAGCCTAGGGTTCAGGGTTCCTGACCCTTGACTCTGTACCTGATAGTTGCGAACTCCATCCCAGCATGCTGTCTGCTTGGGCTGTGCTTTGAGATCCTCGATGCTGAACTAGGCAAGAGAAAATAAAGTTATTCACTACATTGTCATTGGCCAATTGATAAGCTTCTATGGAAACAAGAAGTTCTCTCTTTAATTCTGAAAAGTGCTACAGGCCATAAAGAAACTAGGTGGATTACCAGGAATTAGTTCCAGGGCACCACGGATGTTGAATGAATGTAAGTTAAGCCTCGGGTTTTACATTGTGATCTTTGCTAATTAAGATGATTAATTGAATGGATAATCAGGATAATAAAACAGTTTGCTGGTTTCCTGTGTTTCACTTATTAAAGTATCATAATTCTCTAATATTTCTATTTTCCTCCAGCTAGTATTGAACTCATTCCCTAGCTTAATTTCATTCCCTGATCATATGGCAACCCTTGTCAGGGAGACATCCAGGAGCATGGCAAGCAGTAAGAGAAAAATCACTAGTGCCAGGTGTGGTCTGGTGATGCACACCTGTAATCCCAGCACTCCTAAAATTGGGGCAGGAGGATCTTCAATTCAAGCTGGCCTTCAAAGATGGGAGGCCAGCTTGAGCTACATACATAGTAAGATCATCTTAAAAACACATAACAATAGCAAAATCAAACTTGATTGACACTGGCAAGTTGAATCATATGTCTGATTTTATAAATAAAGTTTTACCTGAACATAACCACACCTTTTTATGTGTTGTCTGTGGTAGCTTTCTTTTCTTTGTTAATGGGACAGAGCTGCAACATGGGCTATAAAAACCCATAAGCCTCTCTGGCTCTGTTCAGAAAAAGTCTTCCAACCTTTGCTTAGACAGGAAACCCACAAAACAGATGCAGGTTGGGCATGCCTTATGCTAGCATCTGAAATCAAGAACACTCTGGAAGGTTCTAACATCCAAAAACTCTTGAATTTTATTAAAGTATTTAGGCTTTTTTTTTTTTTTTTTTGGTTAAGGATATTCAAATTACAAAATCTAGAACACTTCTGGTCCCAAGAACTTTGGGTAAGGGCTAGCCAACCCTAAGCTAATGATAAAAATGTTGCAAATTCTACCTATTTTACCTTTTCCTTAGTCTTCAAAGATGAGAAGCTGATGTCTGAATCCTATGGTAAACTATATTCACCATCTTTTTAGTAGTAGTTCTGTGTGTCTGCATATGAGGCGTGGAAGTATGTGTGGTCAGAGCACAGCTCTCAGGAGTCGGGTCTCTCCCAGGTCATCACTGCCTCATCGAACCAACACGACTGACACAGATACAGTCTCACCTTCATGTCTACACCTTTCTCTAGCCGGCTTTCTGGTTCTGACTTCATCAGCCAGTAGTTGCTTACATTCTTGCCACAGTTTTTAGAGGTTGAAGTCTTCTGAGGGCTGGGGCTCTCTAGCTTAGCTGGTGTATTTTCTGAGTTTTCGGTTTTAGTACGTTTTTCTGATAGCTCCTTCTTGTCTAGTAAAAGCAAAGGAAAATGCCTGTCATTCTTCTGGGAGGCAATGCTCCACTGTGGAAAACAAAAACCAAAAAACTTACTACTTGGTATCAGACCTGGACTCAAAACTTAGACTCTATAAACACCAATTATAGCACCATATAGTCCCATATAGAAGTAACCTCACTTTCTCTATAGAATCTGGACAAGAATACCTGACCCTTAGGGACTCAAAAATGACATCCTCCTGACCCAATACAACCACTGAAACCATCAACTTAGATCAACTGCACCTACCAGTACTAGGCCCACACAAGATTGGCCCAATTAACAGTCATTCACAAATGTGGGAGGAGCTCGTGGGGCCCTATCCCTTTTGCTAAGATTATTGACCACTGATAGGTTCTGGGAGAGAGGGAGTCACTGTCTTGAATTATGTAGCCACTGCTTCCCTTAGATAGCTCCAAACCCATGGCTTCATAAATGACTCTAGTTAAAACAGTGGGTCACAAACCAAAATGATTAGATGTGAATGTAAGGTTTGTAGGCAAGAGCTAGTGTAAGATACAGATGTAAGTATGGTAAAGAGAAAGGAGAGAGTGGGGTAAAAGTGGTTTTAAGAGCTAGACAGATGGCTGGGATTAAGATTCCACAAAACTCGGTTCAATTCCAAGCACCCACATGGGTTACAACTTTAACTCCAGTCCCAAGAGATCTGACACCTTCTGGCCTTTGCATGTCCTGCATGAGTTTGATACATAAACATACATGCAGGCAAAACATCCATACATATAAAATAAAAATAAACATGAAAAACTTCTAAAAGCTGCTTGGCAGTGGAGGCACATGCCTTTAATCCCTGCACTTGGGAGGCAGAGGCAAGCAGATCTCTGAGTTTGAGGTCTATCTGGTCTACAAAGCAAGTTCCAGAACAGCCTGGCTACACAGAGAAACCCTTTCCCAAAAAACAAACCAAAAAAAAAAATCTTTTTTTTTTTACTTTTAAAAAATGGTCCATTTACATCCTGTACATTTGTGGAATTGTCAAAGAAGTTTAATTAGAAAAAAATACTGTTACAGGATACCTTCTAGATTACTCAATGAAGTCATTACCCAATGGAGTAGGCCTATGGTGTTAAGATTGAAGAGTACTAGTAGTAATCAGTAAGTGTGCTCCACCCCAGTTCTGAACCCTTAATCGGGCTATACTTCCCTATGAGAAAATGAAGCACTTACTTGAAACTTTTCAATGATTATTTGATAATACAAAGGAAAAACTAGGGAAATATCTCATTACCATAAATTTTAGTAGCTATTAGCCATTATCATAATCTCATACTTCTTTCTTGCTTCATACATGCCTTTCAGGGCCATGTAGACATGGTAAAAACTAGATATTTTTTTCTCTAGTGGTAGGTACTGAACACAGGACTTTACCCATGCTAGACCAGCAACCTATCACTAAGCTATATCCCCACCCCTTTCTTGTTTTAATTTTTATTTTGAGACACAGTTTCACTAAATTTCCCAGTCTGGCCTTCAGCTCACTCTGTAGTCTAAATGAGCCATGAATTAACAAAATCTACCTCCTGATTAGCTTGGATTATAGCTCTTTAGCACCAGCCCAGGTTTCCCCACCTGCCAAGTTCTAAAGATTCAGCTTGGAGCTTCAAATAAGCTAGGTTGTGCTGTGCCACTAAGTTACATCTCCAGCCCTGAAATCTGGCTTTTACTCAGTGAATAAAAGAAAACACGCTCTTGACACAGCAACCACTCCACATAGGTTGTAACCCTAATTTGGTACAGCCTCCAAGGTGTTCTATCCACCTAAACAATGTGCTGCAGATCACAATCCAGCCAGGTAGAACAAAGTCCTGAATTGGGTCAGAACAGTCACTTGAGTCTGTCGGAAAACCTACAGTTAACTTACTCTACTACCTCAATTTAGTTTGCTACTGCATCAATCTTCACTAAATATTGTTTTTATTAAAAGAGTGAGTTTTTTTTTAAGATTTTATTTATTATGTATACAACATTCTGCTTCCATGTATATCTGCACACCAGAAGAGGGCACCAGATCTCATAACGGATGGTTGCGAGCCACCATGTGGTTGCTGGTAATTGAACTCAGGACCTCTGGAAGAGCAGTCAGTGCTCTTAACCTCTGAGCCATCTCTCCAGCCCTTCATTAAATATTATATGGATAATGGATGCTCTGAACTTAGCTTATCTTAACACAATTTCCCAGCTATCCTTAAGAACAGGCATACTTAATAGATTAGTGCCTTGTCCAGATGTCATCAGAGAGGCTTCCTCTGGAGGCAGATGGGAGCAGGTGCAGAGACCCACATCCAGCCATTATGCAGAGTCTAAATTGGAGGTCTCCATAGGGTCCCTCCCCTTGGAACTTGGGGAACCCCAAGGAAGAGGGAGTGGAAAGATGGTAGGAGTCAGATTGGATGGAGAATACCAGGAAAACAAGGTCCACTGTAATAACCACGCAGGGGTCACATGGGCTCACAACCTGAAGCAGCAAGCATGGGAGCCAGCATGGGTCTATACTAGGTCCTCTATATATGTTGTGGCTGTTGCCTTGGCATTTTTGTGGAATTCCTAACTGTGGGAGCAGGTGTGTCTTTTGACTCTTGTTGGTTCTTGGGACATAGTCCTGTTGGGTTCCTTATCCAGCCTCAGTGTAACAACTTTTTGCCTGTCTTACTGTACCTTGTTTTTTTGTTTTTTGTTTTTTGTTTTTTTTTTCTGTGTTTGGTTGTTGTCTCTTAGAGGCCTGCTCTTCTTCTGAAGGGAGACAGAGGGGGAGTGGAGGGGAAGGGAAAGGTGGCTGGGAGGAGCAGAGGAAGGGGAACTGTGGTCAGAATGCACTGTATGAGAGAAGAATCTATTTTCAATTAAAAAAGTAAAGAACAGCATACTCCATGTTGTAATCTAGGCAAACCTGGCCCTGCCCCTTGGGAACCTGGCACAGCGAGTCACTCTTCTGCACATGGCAGGCATTCCCTGGCCCTTTAAGAGGAAAAAAAAAAAACACCCACTTCCCTCTCCTGCTATTTCTATGAGGCAGCTCTATCTCTTTCTCTCCCCCTTACTCCTTTACCTTCTACTAATAAATCTTTCACCAATAACTTTCCATATAAGTCACATCTGCAAGTCTCTGTCCATATCCCAACCCCCTACCTGCCATGAGACCTGCTGTAGGCTTGTATTCCTGTTGGGAGCATAGAACAATTCCATTAGAGAATTTCTCGGGGTCCAAATCTCCAGTATACAGGAGCTCCGCTCCTGTATTGGAGATGCCAGCTGATTTGCTGTTAAATGGCATAGCCTCAGTGGAGAATGTCCCCTAGTTTTTCATCTCTACAGAACTAAGCATTTGAATAGCCCTACACCAGGGCAGAGGGCTAGGTCTACAGTGAGGAGTCAGGATAGACGGTTGAGAGGTATCTGCTGATGGGGTCTAGGGAGATGGAAGAGAAATGGTCTCTCGGTTAGGGAAGAACATTTAGAAAGCAGCCAGGAAGATGCTGAATAAAGGAGAGACTCCAGTTTTGCAGCATGGAACTGAGAGCTCTCTAAAGATGACAAGATGCCTATGCCTGCTCTTTATCGCCATTGAGTTGCTAGGAATTTCCAAGTCCATGCTCTCCCACTCAGGCCAAACCTCATGGCTTCTGTGGTTTGGAACTGAGACATGCCGGGCCATGACATAGTCCTAATACTATGTGTGGTTAAATAACTACAATAATGTGCTGTGATCAACCTGAAATCTGTCAATCTTAACAGAGGTTCATTCTACTTTCCGCTGCTTAATTTCTGCTCTTAATCCATAGCGTACATTCATTTTTGTGAATGAAA